TCAACTTGTGAGTTTATATGTGTCAAGAAGCTAGAGATGTGTTCTGTTTTTAGCACTGTGAAAGTGTCATCCACATATCTCCACCATATTTTCGGAGTAGGGTTAAATGTATTGAGGGCACTATTTTCCCAGCTGTCCATAAATATGTCTGCTACGATAGGGGATATTGGTGATCCCATTGCTACACCTTCTGTTTGTCTATATATTTTGCCTTGGAACTTAAAGATAGTAGATGTGAGGCATAACTGAATTCCTAAAATAATTTCTTCAATGGACAGCTTTGTCCTATGACTGAGTTCCGGATCCGCAGTTAATTCTTTTTTAACTGCTTCTAAGGCCATATTAACTGGTATATTAGTATAAAGACTAGTTATATCAAAACTAACCATTGTTTCATCATTCGCTAGTTGAATGTCATTTATTTTATTTTTCATCTCATATGAATTAGTTAATCTAGAGTTTGAACGATTTCTAATGGGGCATAGTATTAGAGCTAAGTGTTTTGATAATTCATACGTGGGGGTATTTCTAAAATCTACTATTGGTCTTATGGGGTAACCTGGCTTATGTATTTTTATAGTACCATATATTCTACTAGCATTATTAGTTTTAGGCATTAAATTAAACCATTTAGACTCACCCAGGGATGGCTTCATTCTGCGTATTAGTTCCGCTGTAGATTTCTTAACCTTATTCATTATTGTATCCACAGGCTTCTTAATTTCCTCATATGGACCCATTTGAATATGTTCAGTAACTTTTTTGATGTAGTCAGATTTATCCAATACTACGGTGGCGTTTCCTTTGTCAGCTTTTGCGATGACAATGTTTTTATCCTGTTTAAGACTAATTAAAGCTTCCCTTTCTGATTTTGTTAAGTTTGATTTTGTTTTCTTTTGATTTTTTAGTGTTAATGCACATTGTGCTCGAACCTCTTCTGCTGTAGTCTTATCTATTGAGTTTAGTGCTGCTTCTATGTTAGGAATGACGTCCTCTGGTTTTAATTTATTAACTGTTACGTTAAAATTTAGTCCTTTTTCAAGTACTTTTATCTCATTAGAGTTTAGTTCCCTTGATGAGAGGTTGATCACCCACTTTGTTCTGTCGATAGAGGATGCAGCATTCATATCTGTTTCATTTGTTGTGTTCTTTTCTTCTATTAGTTTGTTGAATTTTTTGATTTGCGTGATTTTTGATTTTCTTAATGCGGATTCTCTAGCTTTGTTGGATGTTTCAATAACAATTATATAATCTTTGTCATTGATCATACATTTGAGTTTGTGTTTAAGTTTTTCAATTTGATTTCGTATATTATTCTTGACACATATAAACTCACAAGTTGAGGGAATAAAATTCACATTTGAATCAGAAAATGAACAAGGAGAATTAGCTATGTTAGATTGTAAGATAAAAAGAATAGAAGAAGGCAAACTACACACTAGTGTTTATAGAAAACCAACGCATTCTAATAGATATTTAGACTTTAATTCGTCTCATCCTTTAACTGTTAAGGCAGGCTTAGTTAAATGTTTAACAAACCGAGCAGTGGCACTAAGTAGCACAAAAAAAGATCTAAATGATGAATTAAAACAGATAGAAGAAGCGTTGGTGTTGAATAACTATCCTATAAAATTCATTAGGAAGATCACTAAAGGCCAAAAACAAAATAAAAATAATTGTGAAACTAGTAATAATAACATAAATAAGAAAGAATATAAGTCATCCACAGTTATACCATATAAAGAGGGGACATCTGAGACACTACGTAGGATTCTGAATAAAATAGGAATTAGGGTGGCATTTAAACCTACAAACTCACTCAGGGACAAGCTCTGTAGGTTAAAGGACCCAGTTGACCCAATTAGACAAAATAATATTATTTACAAAATACCATGCAATGACTGTGAGGTCAACTACATAGGTCAAACTAGTAGGTCAGGGGTAGTCAGATTGTCAGAGCATAAAAATTTAGCTAAGGTAAGAATGGTTGACCCCGAGAAGATAAGTAATTTAGAAAAAAGCTCAGCAATTGCAATGCATGCGCTAACACACAACCACACAATAGGGTGGGAGAGAGTTAAAATTCTAAAAAGTAATCTAGGTAGGTGGAGAGAGAGGTTGATTACTGAATCCTTGTTCATCGAGTCTACACCCAACACATGCAATAGGAATGACTCGTCACTCATACCTGAAATATGGAAAATACTACTACCAATCAAATCAAGTGAAAGTCAAGAGAAAAACAATGGAACTATATAAATGAATTTAGGAAGTCGTGTGATTACCTTGATATGATTATGAGCAATAAATTGTGCTCGAAACGTCATCAGTAAACATTACTGTATAACACTGTGAGACTTTATCAAAACAAAATTTACCCATAATGGAATTACACTCTACCACAGTGCACAAGTTTTATTCTTATATTAATGATACATATGGTCTTCCTACTAGGAAGCTTATCAACAAACTCACACGACTTAGTCAAACTGAAGCAAGATTTACAAATCATCGGATTTTTAACAGTCGATGTTTAAAAAGCCATATAATTCCAAAATATTTACGTCTACGTACTCCAATTACTTCAAACAAAATAACATCAGCCGCAGAACATGTCAGTAAATTATGTCTAAGAGAAGAATTACATAGAGTTACTGTAAAACTAAATAATATACGAAATCAAATTGAAAAACTTAAACACAAACTCAAATGTATGATCAATGACAAAGATTATATAATTGTTGTTGAAACATCCAACAAAGCTAGAGAATCCGCATTAAGAAAATCAAAAATCACGCAAATCAAAAAATTCAACAAACTAATAGAAGAAAAGAACACAACAAATGAAACAGATATGAATGCTTCATCCTCTATCGACAGAACAAAGTGGGTGATCAACCTCTCATCAAGGGAACTAAACTCTAATGAGATAAAAGTACTTGAAAAAGGACTAAATTTTAACGTAACAGTTAATAAATTAAAACCAGAGGACGTCATTCCTAACATAGAAGCAGCACTAAACTCAATAGATAAGACTACAGCAGAAGAGGTTCGAGCACAATGTGCATTAACACTAAAAAATCAAAAGAAAACAAAATCAAACTTAACAAAATCGGAAAGGGAAGCTTTAATTAGTCTTAAACAGGATAAAAACATTGTCATCGCAAAAGCTGACAAAGGAAACGCCACCGTAGTATTGGATAAATCTGACTACATCAAAAAAGTTACTGAACATATTCAAATGGGTCCATATGAGGAAATTAAGAAGCCTGTGGATACAATAATGAATAAGGTTAAGAAATCTACAGCGGAACTAATACGCAGAATGAAGCCATCCCTGGGTGAGTCTAAATGGTTTAATTTAATGCCTAAAACTAATAATGCTAGTAGAATATATGGTACTATAAAAATACATAAGCCAGGTTACCCCATAAGACCAATAGTAGATTTTAGAAATACCCCCACGTATGAATTATCAAAACACTTAGCTCTAATACTATGCCCCATTAGAAATCGTTCAAACTCTAGATTAACTAATTCATATGAGATGAAAAATAAAATAAATGACATTCAACTAGCGAATGATGAAACAATGGTTAGTTTTGATATAACTAGTCTTTATACTAATATACCAGTTAATATGGCCTTAGAAGCAGTTAAAAAAGAATTAACTGCGGATCCGGAACTCAGTCATAGGACAAAGCTGTCCATTGAAGAAATTATTTTAGGAATTCAGTTATGCCTCACATCTACTATCTTTAAGTTCCAAGGCAAAATATATAGACAAACAGAAGGTGTAGCAATGGGATCACCAATATCCCCTATCGTAGCAGACATATTTATGGACAGCTGGGAAAATAGTGCCCTCAATACATTTAACCCTACTCCGAAAATATGGTGGAGATATGTGGATGACACTTTCACAGTGCTAAAAACAGAACACATCTCTAGCTTCTTGACACATATAAACTCACAAGTTGAGGGAATAAAATTCACATTTGAATCAGAAAATGAACAAGGAGAATTAGCTATGTTAGATTGTAAGATAAAAAGAATAGAAGAAGGCAAACTACACACTAGTGTTTATAGAAAACCAACGCATTCTAATAGATATTTAGACTTTAATTCGTCTCATCCTTTAACTGTTAAGGCAGGCTTAGTTAAATGTTTAACAAACCGAGCAGTGGCACTAAGTAGCACAAAAAAAGATCTAAATGATGAATTAAAACAGATAGAAGAAGCGTTGGTGTTGAATAACTATCCTATAAAATTCATTAGGAAGATCACTAAAGGCCAAAAACAAAATAAAAATAATTGTGAAACTAGTAATAATAACATAAATAAGAAAGAATATAAGTCATCCACAGTTATACCATATAAAGAGGGGACATCTGAGACACTACGTAGGATTCTGAATAAAATAGGAATTAGGGTGGCATTTAAACCTACAAACTCACTCAGGGACAAGCTCTGTAGGTTAAAGGACCCAGTTGACCCAATTAGACAAAATAATATTATTTACAAAATACCATGCAATGACTGTGAGGTCAACTACATAGGTCAAACTAGTAGGTCAGGGGTAGTCAGATTGTCAGAGCATAAAAATTTAGCTAAGGTAAGAATGGTTGACCCCGAGAAGATAAGTAATTTAGAAAAAAGCTCAGCAATTGCAATGCATGCGCTAACACACAACCACACAATAGGGTGGGAGAGAGTTAAAATTCTAAAAAGTAATCTAGGTAGGTGGAGAGAGAGGTTGATTACTGAATCCTTGTTCATCGAGTCTACACCCAACACATGCAATAGGAATGACTCGTCACTCATACCTGAAATATGGAAAATACTATTACCAATCAAATCAAGTGAAAATCAAGAGAAAAACAATGGAACTATATAAATGAATTTAGGAAGTCGTGTGATTACCTTGATATGATTATGAGCAATAAATTGTGCTCGAAACGTCATCAGTAAACATTACTGTATAACACTGTGAGACTTTATCAAAACAAAATTTACCCATAATGGAATTACACTCTACCACAGTGCACAAGTTTTATTCTTATATTAATGTTAACTCTTTGAACATGTCAGAGAATTTGGTGTTACTAAAGTTCGTTTAGAACGCCCACACTCAGGGCTGCTATCAGTTATGTTGATTATTGTTCAAATAGTATAAACTCTCTCTCTCTCTGGCCAAAAGTTTGTATTTTCGCATGTCAGTAGTAATATTACGGTGATGGTTGATGTGAATAAATTTAGTGGTAGATTAGGATCATTCACGCTTTCGTTTAGTATCACTCATATGATTTAAAAGTGTGCGATCAAACAGACGTGAGATAACAAGATAATTAAAATAAGTGCTTACAGAATCAAAGACGATTAAAACAGTGAATATTCAGCAGATGTTTGAATTTCAGTACATAAATTAACTGTAGAAATCGAAATCCCTCTTAAATTTGGGGTAAGTAACTTTCTCTTTGATAACTTTTATTTCTAACCATTTTAAATAACTATTACGCTCATTGTTAGACTGTTCTGTCAACACTTTTCTTATCTTGTTAATTCATTTATTAGAGAGTGTCTGTTTAAATGTATTTCTCCTAAACTGATTTGTTTGGTTTCGACTGATTTCCAAACCATAAATCCCATCTCAGAGATTGTTTAAGCAAGCATGATAAAGAACGACGAAATTATCCTGAAACAACCGGTCAGAGTAGCAATCATATCAGATAAAACTGCTGGATATATCGTTACGTCATTTCTGATACTAACTAATAAGCACATATTTGCATTTTTCTACATTCAGGGATATAACACAGAGAGATGTGATCGAAAATATGTGTTTGAACAAGTAACTTCGACTCTGAACTCAACTCTACAGTATATTCTAAAAAAAAAATACAACTTCTGAAAATTCATCAGTAGTAAGCTGTTGTATATTTGTGTAATTCTAAAAATGACACTGTAGAGGCAAAAAGCAACTAATCTACTTTTATGACGAATTTTGTATTCTTTGTTCTTCCTTCTCATTTGCCAATCAGTCACTCAGCTAGCCTTACTTTACACCTGATAACAACTTTCACCTTGTCAAATCCCGAACTCTACATTACTGATTTTATTTTCTGTTAACTGAGAAAAATTCAAAACTCATGATTCCAAACCAGTGGTGTACATTGACCCTAGAGTTCAAAAAGAATCAATGGTGTTTGGGAGTTTCTTTGTTCACCAGTAACCGTGCTCACAAAGAGGTCCTGGAGTTGCTCTAATGCACTTTGGACCAGACTTCAAGTCACAGTTTCCTCCTAGTTATTTTCAATATCATCAAACTTGTGTGTAAAGATCAACTAGTAAAGTCAAAACACATTTTTTTTTAAATCTTTTCAATACTGTCTTCTCTATTTAGTGGTGTTTAATGGATAGGGTAACTTGAGCTAATATTATCAGAATTCGAAAACTACTATGTAATGTTAAATTTTTCACAATCATATACCTGAAATGTTAGATTTCAGACTTTCTCCTTTTTTCACTGTTAAATTACATCAACACTTCACTGAGGATATTAATTAAAAACACTAACCAGTATGCATTTTAATGTTATCCAACGGAGAGGACTATAGTCTAATAAAATCCTATGCAAATTACCCAGTGGTAGATAAAATAGTTCTGACATTCTGAAATACTGTAAGTCAGTTGAATTCGTTTGTTTGCCTTGTGTTTATTACCTGCTCGTAGAATACTTTGGCGATATATACATATATATCACATTTACTGAAGGTCAATATAATGATACGTATGAGTTCAAAAATACCTGAACAACCTTCCTTCCAAGTAAGTGTACAACAAAATGTTAAGTCTCAGTGTAAATAGATTTTCGAAGATCCATGAATTCTGTTGAGATCATAGATAAATCTTTCTATGAATAATCCTTTTTTTTATTCTCATGAAGTGTACTTTTTCATAATATTTGCTTTATCTTTTATGAACATTTGTAGTTGAGAGTAGCACCTCTAGAAGTTATCCCCTGTTAGCATAGTACTGTTGTAATCTTATTTCCAGTGATATCATTTCTCCTGAGCTTCGGATATGTGAATGAGAAGTGTTTCAGTAGAACTGATACTTAATGACCAGAATAACACATTGATAAGAAATTAAGTTTAGAGGACATTATTATTATTATTATTATTATTCATTAACAAGCGTTAAAAAGAAGTTACAACACACTAATAACAATGTTAAGCAGAGATAACATTATTCACCTGAATCGTTGTCTAAAGTTTATGGTATGTATGCATGCTTCATGAAGGTAATTGTTTGAAGCAGAAGCGTAATAATGAACGCAAAAATGCCTTGGGGAAGAATTAACATATAGTTGAGGTGATGGGAAAAGGAAACAGATGATTTAGTCGTACACTTCTATGTGAAATGGCATTTATAATATTTTAGTGAAATGCATTGGAAAATAAAGTTTGCTTTTAGCGCAAATAAAACCGTAGATATGTTATATTTCTTTAAAAATAAAAAAAACAGAAGATTTGATTTTTTTTTTTTAGCAACAGAATAATAACTTAATCCAGAATCATTCTTTGCTTGCCCATAGTCATACCGGCTTGAGAAGCTCCCTTGTTTGTTCCATACTGCAGACTAATCACATTCGCGCCTTCTCTTAACTGTTCCTCAGTGAATTCTCGTTTATTCTCTTGAGCTAACTTTGGACCTAAACAAGGACCACTATATTCTGGATGTGTCTGACACTAAAAAAGTTCAAAACATTGAAAACAAAGTTTAATAAAGTTTCTATGTAATTTTTAACTAGCAGTGTAATTCTGTTGCATATGGTTCCCCCGAAAAATTTCAACAGAGCAAAACAGGCTGGATTCTGAGTGAAGTTATTTTATCTCACAGATTCTTGTTGGCTGAAGAAGTCACAGCTTTCATAAAATAATAAAAGTACATAAATAATTCAATGAAACCGTTATGTAAATCTTCAGTGCAACTTCAGAAGCGTACACTTTTAGCTGCGAATGCCTGTGTTGAACAATTTTTCAGGACTAACTGTAGGACGTAATTTGAAATCACTGAAAAAACTTTCTTTGCGTTAACCGTTTCCCGTCAAAAAGAAAATTTAGCTACTGAGGTCCACTCATTAGACACTAATCACAGTTCTAAGACTCAATATTAGCTCGAAGATTAATTTGTAAGTCTCTTTTTTTCCTTCACGTTCCCAGTGGAACATAGGGCTTCAAGCTAGTGACTTGAAGTTTCTGTAGCAGTGTTTAATTGCACAGGATGAGGTTGCTAGCTTCATGTCCAACCTTTCCTCTCTACCAGCATTATTTCTGGCTTAGCGAGGTAAAGGAGTGGGTCGGCCAGGGATCGAACCCCGGACCATGTGCATGGTCGGTGAGCGTCTTAACCGCTATGCCACCGACGTACCAAGCAAGAAAAATGATTCAGTAGTTTTTTTGGCTAAGCAGAAATGCTAAAAAGGTAGGTCTGAAAGTGATTCTAAGACCATGATATGATTATCAGGAGTGGTGTTCATAATGTTATCTAGTATGCAAACTATATCACTGTTTTGTGTGTTGTACACAGGAAAACGTATACTAATGGCATTTTAGAATTATATAAACTTTCGTCATAATATTGCTCACGTATTTGAATTTCAGAGATTTGATTAACTTCAGTATGAATCCTTCTTGACTAAACAGCTGAAAAACCCTCCCTGGAATTTGAGGATTCGCCGACTTTTGTCAGTTCGTGATTAAATCCGTATTGAAATATAAGCAATGATTATGTGAATTATGCTAATCTGTAGATTCTACTGAAGATGACATGTAGTGGTACAAAAAGTTCACTCCATTTTAAATGTTGTCATCCTGTAGACAGTTTTCAGGGAATCACAGACGAATTTTGAGACAGAAATTCGCTAACACTTATTAGTAAACTCTACTTATAACTTCGAAGAAGGTGACAATGGACCTATCATAACACCCTCTACTGATGCCACAACGCTGATACAGCTATTGTTAGAAGTGATAAATAACCTAAACCCTTGTTTCCCGTAATACATCGACTCATCTAACCAGTTCGGGATTTCTTCCTCATATTTCTTTTACTTATCTAGTCATTCTGCTTATATATTTCACCACAACTGTAGCAGTTTTGGAAAACTCAACCAGGACGATGTTATCAATGTGTTTTACTCAGCTTACAAGTAAATGAATTACTTAACAAATTTAATACTATTCCAAAAAAAATCTGTTATCTATTTGGTAAATTCTGACAAGCACAACACAGAAAAGATCTTGACTCACGGTTCTTCCAAGAGCATAGATACACTGTGTAACTTGAGCAATATCCTTCTTTTCAAATAAGTCAACTGTTTGAAAGACGTCAGAAGTAGGCACACCATAAGCCTTAATTGCTTCTTGAAAAGCATTGATGTTCTCCATAATTTTAAATGGCATTGTAGAGTTTTCATTAATTTTCTTGACACTTCCTGGTTTCAGTTTGTTAATAAGCCTAACAAACAGGGCAATGGAGGTTTGAAACAAGAGTGGCATTTTTTTTCATTTATTCAGCAATTAGTTAGGCTTAACAGAGAAAAACATTATGGATTATTTAATCTGCATTCTGCATGTCTACATTTTTTCTCGACAATTAATAACTAGAATCCTTTAGACAAGGAAATTCAACATCGCTTAACTGTCCCAGAGTGCAGCGAAACGGGATTCCACTGCCTTTTGATTTTCACTATTTTTGTGTATGGTGATAGTTTGCAATAAGCAGTAACATTACGAGAGTGAAAGCACCTAGTGCAGAATCAAATCGACTGGCAGTGTTTCAAGAGGGTATTGCTTCACTCAGGCAAATAAACAGAAAACTGATGATGATTATTTTAAACACTATATGAGAATTAACTACCTAAGAATAAGACTCAGAGAAACTGCTGGTTAGATTTAAGCGACTGTTACTGAAAAATGGGTAACACTTTCATTACCACAATTCTATGACTTTGTGTACTGATCCACTAGTATATAAGACTTGTTAACACCATGCTGATGGAGGATGTGAAGATACTTTCCAGCAGTGTGTCGGTCCTTTTAAGTTTGAAGAGGCTTAGTACAATTTTCACACTGGGACGTTTAAGTCTGCGTTCACTACCAGTAAATCTACATCGTCAATTTTTGTGAAATAACCGGTGTCAAATACTTTTTATACATGCCACCTTAATAATAATGAGGGTATAGTCTGTGTACCGACATTTATCATAATTACAAGGACTACATAGTTGGATACGATAACGAAAGTGACCGTATAAAAAACTACAAGCACAATAAGAGGTGAAAATTAGCCACAAAGAGCACACGGACCAAATTTATACAAATCGTGGAAGATACCCATCAAAATAATGCAAGGAAAAGACGAAAAGCTCAACAAAGATATCTTTCCGGCGATTTCAGCCTCATATCAAGCATATCAATCACATTTTTTATAATACGAGTTTGCGTAGATACTATTATTACCTAATATAACACATCTGAAGAATGAGCGGCATTGACTGCTCAAAAGAAGGGCTCTTACTTCTCACAAACATCCTGGCTCAAAATAGATAATCAGCATGGTTTGTGGAGGAGAACATGAAACAAGAACTGAAGAGAGAAGAATACAGTACTGTGTCAAAATATGCACTGGATGCAGAACTCCGACAGCCCAATACAAGGTGGATTCAGAAAAGGCAAATCATGTGCTCATGGGATTACAACTCCACACACCGTCATCACAGAACAGAGCATAGAATGGCAGTCAAACCTCTCTCTACCTCAACGTCGTCGACTTCGAAAAGACCTCCGACAGACAGCGTTGACCGAGAAGTAATTTGGATACTACTTCAACACTACGGCAGGCAGTTCCCAAATCCTTATCAACCTCATTCAACAGGTGACTATATGACAATGGCATGTGTCAGGTGATCCACAACGGTAAACTCAGAGGTGCGTTCGAGGTGGATTCAGGATTAAGACAAGGCTTCCTATAATCGGAAATGATATTCTTAATTGTGGTGGAATGGATGATGCTTCAGACTGTACACGAGGATTGATAAGACAGGAATACACTGGACCACCGACAAGAAGTCTCTAGAAGATCTGGATTTTGCGCGTGAATGATAAGTGTCTGATGTCACACAAACTCGAAGGCTTGCAGGTGAAAACCAACAGCCTGGCAGCAGAGGCAGGCATCGAAAACAGGATTGCAAGTGAACATGAAGATAACCGCGCATCAACAGCAACAGTGAACAGCACCAACCGCTATCAGCTGGAGAAATTTAACAGAGGTTACTTCTTTTACTTATCTAGATGAGGCAGCAGCTCATCGAAGAAGACATTGCGAAGTAGACACGCGATGTCATGAACTGGCGGAAGTCAGAATTCATGGGCTGGCCATTGGATCAGGTCCCAGTGGCTTAATGGTCTCTGAGCTAGCTGGCTTTGTAACCAGAAGGCCCTGGTTTTGAGGCCTGCGAAGAGTTCAAAAAAGGACGAAACAGCTGTCAATTACTTCCAGGTTTTCTAATGATTCTCTCACTGATGTCAGCTCATGATGAAATCCTCCAAATTAGCTAGGAAGCACTGTTTCAATCATTTGTGGAACGGATAAAGATGTCAAAGCTAGTCAGTCAGAATCGGAAAGGCAAGATACGCCTTCATCAATCTGAAATCAGTTTGGAAATCTTCTGCACTCCTCAGCATAAACCATAAGATTCTGATTTTCAACACAAATATCAAGTCAGTCAGTTCTTCTCTAAGGGTGAGAAACTTGCTTTGCGTGTAACGAAAAGGATTTCCGACAGGCTATGGCAAACTTTCATCAACAACTACCGTCGCTAGCTGAACACTGGAGATCAGATGGATGGCCAAAATAATTAGCAACAAGAAACTCTAGCAGCAGATCAACCAAGGGCTGATTACCGAACAAATATGTAGGAGAAAATGGAGACGGACCGGGCATACATTGAGGAGGCTGTCGAATGACAGCGCGCGTAAGGTCATTGCTCGGGTGGAGTCCCATTAGTACACGATGAGGGGGCCGTCAGTGAGAAGCGACATGGTACATATTATGGGCAATCTTGGATCTATCTGAAGAGAACAGCGGAAAATAGAAGAAAGTGGAGATGTTTTGTTGAAGCCCTGTGTTCCACTTGTAACTCAAAGGAATAATAATAAATTTAATTTGTTTCTATGTATGTTTCGTTCGCACCTGTCTTCACTGAAAACTATGTTACATATTACACAGCTATCTTCTGCTCCTCTGTAATTTTGTTTCTATGCCCCTTGTAATTTATATTCGCACCTTCAGATTTTCATATCAGGTTGGAAATAATTATCACCTTTAGGTCAATACGTTAAATAATTGTAATTTTGTTGACTTATTCATGAAAGTGTTATTGTACAGTCTTTGAGGATGAAATCGTTGGATACATATCTTCGCTGAGCTTATTGATATAAGTATAAAACTTGGGCACTGTGGTAGAGTATAATTCCATTATAGATAAGATTTTTATTTTGATAAATCGCACAGTGTTATACAGTAATGTTTACTGATGACGTTTCGAGCACAATTTATTGCTCATAATCATATCAAGGTAATCACACGACTTCCTAAATTCATTTATATAGTTCCATTGTTTTTCTCTTGATTTTCACTTGATTTGATTGGTAATAGTATTTTCCATATTTCAGGTATGAGTGACGAGTCATTCCTATTGCATGTGTTGGGTGTAGACTCGATGAACAAGGATTCAGTAATCAACCTCTCTCTCCACCTACCTAGATTACTTTTTAGAATTTTAACCCTCTCCCACCCTATTGTGTGGTTGTGTGTTAGCGCATGCATTGCAATTGCTGAGCTTTTTTCTAAATTATTTATCTTCTCGGGGTCAACCATTCTTACCTCAGCTAAATTTTTATGCTCTGACAATCTGACTACCCCTGACCTACTAGTTTGACCTATGTAGTTGACCTCATAGTCATTGCATGGTATTTTGTAAATAATATTATTTTGTCTAATTGGGTCAACTGGGCCCTTTAACCTACAGAGCTTGTCCCTGAGTGAGTTTGTAGGTTGAAATGCCACCCTAATTCCTATTTTATTCAGAATCCTACGTAGTGTCTCAGATGTCCCCTCTTTATATGGTATAACTGTGGATGACTTATATTCTTTCTTACTTATGTTATTATTACTAGTTTCACAATTATTTTTATTTTGTTTTTGGCCTTTAATGATCTTCCTAATGAATTTTATAGGATAATTATTCAACACCAACGCTTCTTCTATCTGTTTTAATTCATCATTTAGATCTTTTTTTGTGCTACTTAGTGCCACTGCTCGGTTTGTTAAACATTTAACTAAGCCTGCCTTAACAGTTAAAGGATGAGACGAATTAAAGTCTAAATATCTATTAGAATGCGTTGGTTTTCTATAAACACTAGTGTGTAATTTGCCTTCTTTTATTCTTTTTATCTTACAATCTAACATAGCTAATTCTCCTTGTTCATTTTCTGATTCAAATGTGAATTTTATTCCCTCAACTTGTGAGTTTATATGTGTCAAGAAGCTAGAGATGTGTTCTGTTTTTAACACTGTGAAAGTGTCATCCACATATCTCCACCATATTTTCGGAGTAGGGTTAAATGTATTGAGGGCACTATTTTCCCAGCTGTCCATAAATATGTCCGCTACGATAGGGGATATTGGTGATCCCATTGCTACACCTTCTGTTTGTCTATATATTTTGTCTTGGAACTTAAAGATAGTAGATGTGAGGCATAACTGAATCCCTAAAATAATTTCTTCAATGGACAGCTTTGTCCTATGACTGAGTTCCGGATCCGCAGTTAATTCTTTTTCAACTGCTTCTAAGGCCATATTAACTGGTATATTAGTATAAAGACTAGTTATATCAAAACTAACCATTTTTTCATCATTTTCTAGTTGAATGTCATTTAGCTTACTTTTCATCTCATATGAATTAGTTAGTCTAGAGTTTGAGCGATTTCTAATGGGACAAAGTATTAGAGCTAAGTGTTTTGATAATTCATAAGTGGGGGTATTTCTAAAATCTACTATTGGTCTTATGGGGTAACCTGGTTTATGTATTTTAATAGTACCATATATTCTACTAGTATTATTAGCTTTAGGCATTAAAGTTTGTTGTTCTTTTCTCTCAAAATTATGCGGACTTGGAAATAAGTTTTCATAATATGCAAAATAATTCTCAAAAGATTTAGTGTATCTGGGTCGGTATAGCAGCAGAATTAAATAATGTTTTGTGAATGAAGCTGAAAAAAAAGTTTGACTGAGATCATCAGAAAATAAAACAAACAGAACGAAAGTAAATATGTTTTAGATACAGTGAATGAAGGAGATTCGTCTGCATGAATAACTCCGGTTTCTCAAAAGATTTAGCGAAGATTTATGTACACATTAGTCACGCCTTACTTTTCGAAAATTATTCCACATAACGTGCAAGCTTATTGTTCAGTCTACATAATTTTGCTTTCTATTTTCCTTGGGGTTAACCTTGAACTGTTATCACACTTACACTATGTTAGACACCTGATATACTATTATGCCTGGAAATATATTTCGACATTAAAATGTCCCTTTTCAGCTAAAGATTTTATCTAATAACTGAACAATTGGTAAATCTATCAGGAAATAAGTTTCCTATGAACGATACCAACAGACAGGAGATCCTGAAATATTTTATCATACCTATTAGCATTCGTAATCAAAACATTTTTAATAGTACATATCGTGTAATCGACCTGAAATCAAAGGTAATTCAGCTTCATTTTTTGTAGCTGTAACTTTGCTGGAGTGACTTCAAGATTCTCTTTGAAGCTGTAGCTACACCTTCTTAATAGACATGATAAATAAGACACCTAAAAAAGAAATATCCCACTTAATGACGGAGATACTAGAGTCATTTAAGGTAACACAAGAGAACAGTATGCTTCATGGTCAGGTTATGCATTACATTTTCATTCTAAACATTCTAATCCACAGCAAAGATTCCTACATATTCTAAAAACAAGCTTACTTATCATATGTATTTAATTTACAAATTTTAAAAACTACTTACTTGCAAAGTAACACTCCATCTTTCAGTACTTCTTCATATGGTTTAGAACGATCAACTTTTATGCCAAGCACAGCTTCTATCCAGTCAAGTACACTCTGCTCCTGATCTCTGTCTCGTTTCCCTTCAAGCTAAAATGTGATGGGGTTTTAGCAAATGAAAATAATAGTATTGACTTCAGTAGAAATTGGATTGATTTTCACATGGACTATATGATATTCACTTATAAATAAAATCGTCATTCGACTGCCAATGACTCTTAGTCGAATGTAAGAGGAGAGAAAAACACCGATCGAAGAACTAGCAACTGTGAATAGATGTATTTTCAAAAAATGATGATTATTTTGAGCTATTGAAGTCTTATATAAGCTGACAAGTGACTAAATGTCAACTGACATAAATGAACACCGCTAAATACTAGCTAAAATCAGAGAAATTGACCTAGTGAGCTTCGCACAGAAATAAATCATCTCAAAATGCCACACTTTGAAACAATAAATAACAACTGACAGAAATGACAGATATAGAGTGGATACTGTAGTGAATAAAATGGAGTGTTATAAGAGAGAATAAGAAAACAGAGATGAATGCAAACAGCTATAATTCAAAAGACGCTAAGAAAAGAATACTTCTGAGCTATTAGATGGTTGGAGGAAATCAGCAGGAAGCCTAGGACCTAGGTTTCGTGCCAGTTGGCACTCGTTACTACTGTCCAATCAAAAGTACTTCTAAGCTATTGTGAACAGTTCCCACTCATATTTCCGAAAATCACTAGCTATGTAGGTGTAACATCTTGAAGTCACCAGACACGAATCTATATATCCCTACATGGTTGAGGTTAAAGATCACATAATTCATGTATCGGTGTAACAAATTCCAACAGTCTTTTAAAATCAATCCTAATATTTTTAGTGGGAATTCCATATCTCGTCGACTGACTTGGCTAAAATTTTATACTCATTTTTAAACTACTTAACACAAAGCACCGCTGAATGTGAGCAAGGATAGAACTACACTTAAGTTCTTAAGTCCATATATTTCTCGTTTCTGCTGATTTATAGTTCCGTACTCCGCAACTACTGACCAGGAGAGGCTCATCTACAATTCAATGTTTACTCCACTTGATAAATTTCATGCTTCACTAGTTGATGGAAGTTGGTAAAGCCCAGACCAGCCTGCCTCGATTTTCCCACCAACCAGTCCAACAGAGCTATGGCACTATTAAAAGAGACGTTGTTTCCTTCTTCGGGAATAAAAATTTAAAAAAAAAACTTGAAAAAATTTCTTATTTTATCAACTTCATAAACAATTATTATTATTATTATCTGAATGGTTTCTAGCCCAGGTGAACGCTATTAATCTTCGATTATCATCTCTTGTACACTGGGATCAGCCCACAAACAATCAGTAAAAATGGAATTCAAACCAAATAATCAGTTTAGAAAACACTTCAGATTCCAAAAACTTGTTTATTCGACCGTGGACAAGCAAAAGATGCAGGGAATCATGAATTGTCAGAATTCACCTCAGAAAACACAAGATTTACTTAGTAACTTTTAATCGAATAACATACACCTCCTGTTTGTATAAACTACGGTATTGGTAATTTTATTTTGCAGAACGATAGTGTGCTAGTGACATGAATTTGAAGCACATTTAACTATTAGGTTAGCATATACTGCAACGGAACTTTCCCTACAATCACTTAACCTGAGGTAAACCAATTTCATTTGTACAAATAATGAAAATAATTGTCTAACCATTAAATGTTATTCTGTACAAAATTGATGTTAAGTGCAATTAAGACACTGTCTTCTGATGATAGAAAATCAATCATCATAGTTTCTGGCACACCCTATACATGGTCAGTTGTCTGAGAAGAGGTCAGTCAGTAAAGTTACGTGGCTACTGTGTTTTTATGTAGTCAACTTTCAGTGATGTCAAACTCCTTTCGTCTCACGATAAACCTCTATCAGTATCATCTAAATATTTATTATATTACTGTAAACCAATCATAGGGTAACGTTCAGAGAACACGAAACTAAAAATAAGACCACTATTCATGCAAGAGTGTTACATTTAGCTTACTTTTAGTTCATCAAATGTGTTATGGTTTAGTGTAAAGTTACTACAAAACTTCAAAAGATCCAGTAGATCAAAGCACAAAAATGATCCGTGATATCATTAATTTTTTTAGTATAACATGATGTAGAAGCGAGTACACCACTGTGGGTAAGACTAGGTAAAATTCGAAAACTGATAACCTGTCAGCTATACAGTGTACTACTTTCATACCAGAGTCTTTCGAATTCACCCACACTCTTGTTCTCATTCGCTAACTCAAGTGTTTTCCTACTGTCAGCTCTTAAGAAGTTCAGGAAAATTAACTTATTTCACAGCTGAAAATAATTAAAACCAGTCAGCCAATTTTATTTATACAATATTCTCAATGGCTCTCTAACTGGTATCAATCCATGATCAACTCGTAAAAACGAAACTAACCCTTACAAACCAAACCATAGAAAATTCTCAGAAGACTTTGATATCAAGCCTTATTTTTAAAAATGCATGTTCCTTTCAATACATTAATGAGGCAATTCCAGGCGAATACTATGACTCTGTTATTAAGTTTATAAGTTACTGGTGAAATTTGTATAAAAAAAGTACATGAATACATATTTATCATTCAGAGAAAGAGAGAGAGCTTGTTGTTTCAACCCTTCCAACAATGGAATATATATTTAACAAAGATGGGATTTTGAAAAACTACTCGGAAAAAAGTTATCTTTTAGATATGATCATTTCATCAAGATTACTTCTCTTACACATGAGTAAAGTAAGAAAAATGCAAGCTAGAAAAGTACATTTATAGGAGTGAAAAAATCAGGTTTTCATCTGTGCTTACTGTCCTGCTGATATATGATGTAACAGCTAAATAGTGCTTAAAGCTGAGTGAACCAATGTCAAGTAAGCCTTGCTTCCCTCATATTCAAAAAAGCGATTTCTTATTTATCCATAAAAAAGTTTGTTCAATGTATTTATTAGTTTAAACAAAGTCTTTCTCGCATCACACTGTCTACAATTTGTATCAGCTGACATAATCCTGGTCACATTACCATTCATTTATCAGCATTGCACAGTTGTTATTTTGAAATAAATACCTATAAGAAATTCTCTGGAAAAATTTCGTGAAACTTACTCAAAATTAGGTGACCAAATGGTGAAATCCACGTCATTTTAAGGAAAACTTTTTACAATGCAAACAGTGCATTGAAAAGTGCAATTGGTTTCAATAAAAAGAATACCATTTGGCAACGATGCCTGATTCTGCATACAAGACAACACGAGGGAATCATTTTTATAGCAATGAAAGTGTCAGTGACCAAGCAACACGATTGTTAGTACAACGGAATGCAGTAGATGTTGTTGTTTCTTAACTCTTAGTCATGACAACAGATAGATTTGGTTAGTGAAATTTCTATACTGAATGGAAATAGTTTTCATTTTGGTTAAGATTGAAATTGTCCATTCCTATGTTCGTTGCTTGAAGAAACGATCAGCTTTAACTTATCTATGAATTACACTTTTCAAGTTTCTACTCATTTGTGTCAACACATATGAAACAGTATTCCATTTTCACCTCTACCTATTAATCTGATTACACATTCTGTTTTACCGCCTTTAATCACTTTTGATTTTGGCAAATTAGGTAAAAATGCATCTAGAATGCTTGAATAGGGATGAGAAAACCAAGTTACATATCTGCAAATAACCTGCCGTGTATTCCAATCCCCTGTTTTATATCCACCGTTTGTTTTAGAATTTCGCTTTTCCTAATTTAGTGTCACTTAGACATTGATGAGAAAGCTAAAAATAACTGGGGATTTGTTTATTTATGTACTCCATTGGTCTGCCTAATGATAATGATGAGAGGAGAGAGACATTAAAGCTGTTCAGATTGCACTCAGAATCATACAGCAGCAAGAGATCTATTCTTTCTTTCAAGACACAAGCACTCACAAGTATTTCCTGGTATACTATGCACAAATCACCTATTATAATGGAAGTTTGGTAAGCAAATACTCTGGTTTACACTCAGTTTTATTTAAAAGTTTCTGAAACATCTTGGTCAACTTTTAAAAAATTATCACTTCAGATGCACCAAAAAACAAATATACATTTATACGAATACATTTTGAAATAAATTGCTACCTTCTTTTTGACTTGAGCACTAAGTCCACTGGCTAAGGGTTGATTGGCCATTACCTCCGGGAATTCACTCAGAAATGCAAAAGCAGATGTATTTCCTCTGATATTCAGTGAAAGGAAGTATTTATCAGTCTTGCACACAATCTTATTTCTTTTTCTCTGCTAATAATCTGTTATGCTTACATCCCAATTCGATCTTTTATCTGACCAATCAAATCAAAACTATGTGTGACATACTTTAAACGGGGACTATTTTTAAATCTGCACTTGGTTTAAAGAACAAAAAAGTTATTTATCGGACTAAATCCTACACACCAAGGTCATCTGTACATTATTTGTGTGTAGGCTTTCGCTTGCAATACACCGTTTTAAGTTTAGATGCCAACATAAACACATACCCACACAAAGTGCAAACGGGTGAATATATGCCCTTGGATGAGAAATCTTTCCAGTTGGACAGGTAAAACTTGTGTTTGATTTGTGGATTCTAAATCACTGATGTGCAATTTAGGCCTGTTGTATGGTTTTATAGTGTATAAAAGCAATAATAAAATTAATTTGATGATAGTGAAGGATAGTCAAATTTTATTGGCTCATTTTTGTGTGGGAAGATTGTATCCCATTGACATGAAAACGACAAAATAAACAAAAAACAAGGCTGATTTCGTAAACACTGAAAACATGGCATTGTTTTTTTCCTTAACTCTTTAATTTTATCTAACAAAAAAGTGATATTCACTAGAATGTACATACGTTAAACTCCTTGTTCACTGGTAAAACTATTGGTTCTGAGTTAGTTAGTAAGTTACATAGGCAGTTGGTTGGGCGTAAGATATTCGCAAAGTTAAGCTACAATTAACACTGAGTATAACTTTGTTCTTGGCAGACATCATTCTTTTTATAGTTTTGTTCTTTTAGCAGAGCCTTTGTGAGGTATCGAAAGTACGAGGTACGTTCTACTGTTCCTTTTTTATCTTAGTGATGGTGATGATAGTTCCACCGACATTTTAATGAACACTCAGGTTACTGAACTCATCTGCTATCAGTGAATGTTACTTATTGATAACATATTTATAATTGTACATTATTATAAACATTCTTATCCGAATTATTCATGGAATCACAAATACATATTTTAGGCTGAAGATACCATACCCTACTGGTCACAGCTCCCCACTAGAACCTACTTGAATAGGGCCAGTCGCCAGTGAGCACCTCATTGATATTCAAGTATTGGTTTGTAGGGATTTGGTTGACTGATTATACGATTTCATCATGAGTTGATATTGGTTAGAGAACCATTGGAAAACCTGGGAGTACTGGACAGCTGTTTCGTCCTAGTATGAGACTCTTTACAGTAAGCACCCACCGGGGTTCGAACCCAGGACCTACTGGTTACAAGGCGACCTCGTAGACTATGGAGCCACTGGGACCCGATCCAATGGTCCTTGAATTCTAGCTTCTGCCAATTCACGACCATTTCGCAATGTCTTCTTCGATGAGTTACTGCCTCATCTTCAACCTGCTGTACCCTACTGGTCACGGCTTCCCAGGTCACTGCCTGGGCCATTGGATCGGGTTCCAGTGACTCGATGGTCTACGAGCTCGCCTTGAAGATACTATACAAGGTGGGTATTAATCTGTCTGTCTGTTTTCGACATAGAACTTTGCACAAATGTGCGGAAGTTCAAGTCGCCACATTCCGTGTAGCACGCGAAGCAAGAGAAGAAAGTACAAGAAAAGCATAATAGAAACAGTGAGCAGAGGTGTGAGACAAAGGAGTAATAAAGAAATACAAAACAGTTTCATTGAAGATCATAAGTCACAGGGAGTGGATGCATCTGCGCCACTGAGAACGATTTTGAGCCATGTCACCAATTGTTTCCAACCATAGATTTTTACCGTCCCGAGGACCCCAGCCTGGAAGTCTACACCTTCCTACGTGGCTAAGACCAACTGTTGTGGATTTCATTGACTGATGCCAAGTTTTTGTTTGACCGCCGCTAGCTTTTTTCCAGCCTGACCCTATATCCGCTAACATAGCTCGTCGAGGGAGGCGATGACTTGGCATACGTAACACATGTCCTAACCATCTCAGTCGATGTAGCTTCACGACTTCGTCGATTGATTTCCCCTGTTTACCTAGAACTCTACGCCTAACCTCCATGTTGCTCACCTTATTATGCCACTTTACACGGGAAATAGAACGCAGGCACCTATGATCAAAGACAGCTAGTCTTTTCATGTCTTCCACTCTCAGTGGCCAGGTCTCACAACCATAAAGGAGGACGGAGCGGACTGATGAGCAGTACACCCGCCCTTTGGTCGATAGTCGAACATCTCGTCTACGCCAGAGTCGGCGTAAACTAACAAATGCGAAACGAGCCCCTTGTATTCGTGCTGAGATTTCGTCAGAGATCAGCCCGTTGGGGCTGATGGTACTTCCCAAATAAGTGAAGCGGTCAACGTGCTCTACCACTTCACTTCCTATTTTTAAACTAGGCGTCGATGTAGTCCAGTCCTGTAACATCATCTTGCATTTGGCGGGAGCGAATCGCATGCCAAACATTCGTAGATTGCTGTTCAAGGTGTTTAGAAGACTCTGCATTTCGTCAGCGTCTTCGCCTAGAAGGACTATATCGTCTGCATATTCCAAGTCAACGAGATTATTCCCAGGTAGCAAGTCAATCCCTGAATCGCTGAAGTCACCTAGGGTTAAGTCCATTAACACATCTATGATGAAGTTGAATAGAAAAGGAGATAATGGGCATCCTTGACGGACACCACTGGTCGTCATCAGTTCAGATGACAGCTCGCCGTAAGCCCTCACCTGGCTGTATGAGTACGAGTAGAGTGCCTTAATCAGTGCAATATATTTTCTTGGAATTCCCTTTACAGCCAAGCATCTCCAGAGAACTTCCCGATCGACAGAGTCGAATGCTGCCTTTAGGTCAAGAAATATAATGACTGTTGGACGCCGGTAGGAATGCCTATGTTCTAGAATCTGTCGGAGGGTGAAGATATGATCAATACACCCTCTTCCTGGTCTAAAGCCTGCCTGGCTCTCTCGTGTTTGTGCTTCCCGAGCACCACTCAGTCTACGCATGATTATTGAGCCTAAGACTTTAGATACTATATTAGTCAAGCTAATCCCTCTGTGATTATCACAGGAAGACTTGTCTCCCTTCTTGTATATGGGGATAATCAGTGACTTACACCAACCCGATGGGACTTCTTCTGATTCCCAAACGCTGCCTAGTACCTCAGTTAATCCGGACAGTAAGCTGTCTCCACCGTACTTAAATACCTCTGGCGTCATTCCATCAGGTCCCGCTGCTTTGCCTAGTTTCAGATTGGTGACAGCTTTAGTAACCTCAGTTAGTGACGGAGGACCTGTGTCTATATCCCATTCAGGGAGGTGTTGGATGCTCGGAAGGTTGAGCGTGGCTGTGGGCAAATTAAACTGCTCCTCATAATGCTCTTTCCAACGATCCAGTCGTCTATCCTGTGAGCTAATTATAGTGCCATTTTTTTCCGAGATTGTCTATATTAATATTAGGTATTACTAAATTCACTCTGTTCAAACATATGTCGAGTGTAGTATTGCAAGGCAAATTAATTAATAACAGATGTGAACACAGATATGCTATGAAGATCTCTAACGTCTAGAAAATGATTTGTATTTCGAAGGAATTCACTGAAATAAAACAATGTAAAAATGACTAAACAAAATAAAACCACTTTCGAATTCAGCCTGTTCAAAGCAGAAGAGCTAGCTGTTAAAATCTTATCTGAAAATTAAAGTTCATCAGACAGGCTTGAATTTTGACCGAAGCAATCACCAAGATACAATTAACAGTGTATCGTGGGATTCCATGTTTACTAGCCCTATTCCGAAATGATACATTTCTCTCGAGTTAATTTTGAAAGTCGGAGTGATTCATTTGATATACATATGTCCAGACGAATAACTCTGAAGTTATTTGGTGGATGGTGACGAACAGTGGAATCCAGGATGCCCGTTTCGTCCTATTTGACACTCGTCATCTGGATGTACCTGCATTTTCCAGTGAGGGATGGTGTTCCTTCACTGAGACTCGAGTCCAGCGCCCATGGTTTCAAACGCCAAGGCGTTATCCACTAGACCACAAGGGCCACCTTCTGTGAGATTTTTAGATTTCCCCATCGAGTCCCAAATAGGACGAAACGCGAATCTTGGATTCCACTGCTGGTCACCATCCACCAATTAAATTCAGGTTACATGGCTAGACATCGTCGAATTATCTGCACAAGGAGCCGACAGGTCAACCTGTGACCGAGCACTTCATTCCAATCAATCGACGGGAAAATCTAAAATTGAATTAAAGAGGGATAATCTGGTATCTATACTACTACCTGAATCGCGCATTTAGAAAACTATTTTCAATTTACTACTACAACTTAAAAGTGCACATAATCTAAAAACAAGTCAACTGATCAGATGAAAAATACCCTTCATATACGTAAAAATATAAATACAGACGTAAAACGTGTTAACTAAATTCAGTCTTACATTCTTTGTTTTCATTTTCCTATACAAAGAAAGTACACTTGTGCACACATATATCCCTACAGTATCAACCAATCAGTTTTTAAGGACACTTAAAATGTTGTCACAGGACTGCATACGTTACACGGGAATCAATATTCGCAAAGAAACACATACCACTAATTGTCTGAATGATCTCTTTCACTGGATAATATGAACAGAGACGATCAAACCAAAGAACGAATACTTCAACGATTCTACAGGTGATTTATCCTAAGATGCATACCTTTCAATATATAGTGCATTCGCTGCACAGTAAATCAACTACAATACAGTATAAGCACTTGATTTAGACTAATTCATTCATCAATAGAATTTTTCTACATGATTTACAGATAAAGTAGTAGCACTGAGTTTAGGATTCAAAATCGAAGACACCTATTTCACTTTTTGGTCTATACTAAAGCAGCTTGCAGAAACAATTTTCCATAGTGTATGCAGATAACCAGAATTTGATAGGAAAATAGGATTCAATATTAGATAAGTTTCTTTGATATGAAACACAGTGATACGAAATTATTAACTGGATGA